TTTTGTTAGTTGTTTGGAATGGCATTTTTAAAACCCTGGTTAGGCTCTGAGGCCAGCTCCCAAAGTGCATATTTAACAACTGTATATTCTTGCATTGCTCTACCTTATATGTTATTTATATTATTACATTTAGTGCATTATATTACACCTGCTTTTGTTTGTCAGTATTGCTTTTAGGGCTGAGAGTTCCCTATGAGCAGGGGACAATGTGTCTTAGAAAGTGCTCAGGGCTATTCCAGGTACATATGATTCATTATGAATTTTTTTTTTTTTTTTTAGTGAATGAAAGTATAACATTTAATAGGTTCTAGGAAACCACATGTATAAGTGTTTTCAAGAGAGAAATCTATTCAGAATCCCAAGTCGGGAAGCCAGGAAATACTCCTAGCATAGGTAAATTGAAGAATGTCTGCAAGCAATACAATTTAGTATTTTAAAATTAAGCTTGTTACCTAAACTTCATTAATTTTGACCCCCTTGATAAAAACCTTCGGGAAAAGCCTCACGATTCTTCAGCTACACAGTCATCACAAATAAGGGGTTAGTACTGGGCTTCAGGACAGGCCTTCTCCAAGGCTGTAATTCTTTTCTAATCCAAAGGGAAATTAAATTATGATTATATGTTGAGTTTTTTGTTTCCTGGAATTTTCATGGAATGTGAATAATGCTATTACAATAGATCTCAAAAGCCTAGTCCTATGACCCAGAAAAATGTTTACCTTTTTTCATTTTGGGGATGAATATTTCTTAGATGCCACATCTCCATTGATTAAGTAATTTTAAAAAGAGAATTGTTCAGTGATGTTTTGACTGTACATTTTTGTATTTTTAAGACCTCTAATTACTTCAACCAATTTCCTTACAGGGGAAAATCTGAAAATCAGAGTGGTTTATGTTTGGAAATATTGGAAGCAAACATTTAAAATGTTTGTGTTGAACATATGGGAAAAACATGGAAATTTTTGAGCGGTGCTTTAAATGAGAACTTGAATAGGGTTATATGTTTATATTTTGAGATTTAAATCTCTGTCAGACTGAACCTCTTCTGACTGTAAGCCCCCTGAGGAGAGACCGTGTCTTAATTTTCTTTTTATCCAAAGTGACTTTCACAGAACCTGGCGTGTAATTGGTGCCATTGATGTTTATGGAATGAATGAATTATGAAAAGTTGACTCAGACATGTTAAACACCACATCAAGTATTTTTTTGCCTTCTCTTTCTGGAACACTATACCTCATGTAGTCCTGACTATATCTCAGAATCCAGGACAGTACCTTTGATCAAGCCTGAAGATTATTAAATGACTTTAAAAAGTCAGAGTGTGGATGGCAGAACATTTTAATGGGAGCAGAAAATGTATTGCTATACTGGCATTATTAAGGACCACAAATGTTTTCTTTTTGAATGATTATGTGGAAACAATTGGGTAATCAGAAACTTTTAAGTGATTTTTGAGGCCAGCCATACTTGTTCTTGGGTTTCCAAATGCTGCTACAGTCCTAAAGCTCTATCTTCGTCTATTTTCACTGGTTAAAACCAAATTATCGTTGGTTTTCTAATGAGACCAGGAGCATGCTATCCTTATGACCACCAAAATACGTGGATTACCTGATGACTGGAGAGAAATGCAGCGAGTCTCTAGGAATGACACATTGTGTAGTGCACATGCGTGAGAGAGTTGGGTGGAGGACGTATGTCCGTCCTTCTTTAGTTAACTTGTCAACAAGCAAGAGGGAGTTGGAGAACAAGACCTTGAAAGTTACAGAGGAATCTGGAGAAATAAATTTCCTGGAATTGTTGATATTTTGGGAGTAGTTTTCTGGGGCATTGAGTTCACACTGATGTTTCATCAAATACTCGCGCATTACCTAGAACTAATGCAAGTACCGTCAGTGCTCACTCTGGAGATGACTGTGGCAGGCTGAGATGGGCTGCAGACTCGCTTGCCTTGATGTTGCTGATTTTATTCTTATGTGAGGGAAACTAGTGACTGCGTGAATGTATTTTTGTAAAAATTTTAGTAGCTAAAATTGGAGGGTTACTCCTTGCTGAGCACTCCACATTTGTGGTCTTATTCCACCTCCTACCCACCTTGTGATGGTGGACGCTGTCGTCATCCACTTTTACATACGCCTGTTTGTTGGGAGTAACTTGTGCACGGTTCCACAGCTAATATGAGGCAGAACTAGGACGGGATACCAGGCAGTCTGATCCCAAAGACTAACCTTCCTGCTCTTTTGTAGTGCCCTTCTGTTCTAGAAATATTAAAAGGCCAACGAACAGAAATAAACAGAAACACATGGGGCATTGGTAACCAGTGATATATGCCTAACATTTGAAAACATTTAACTTAATTCACTCCTTCTGCCAAAAAGATGTATTGACTGTCTACCATGTGAAATGATGTGAGGAAAATGTGAAGACGAGTCCCACGCAAGGCTCTTTGCTCAAGGAGTGAGTGGGGTAATAGAGGCAATCTAGAATATCAGTAAAGAACTCTAAATCAAAGTGGAAAATAGGTGCTTTTTAAAAGTTATAAGAAGAGAGTAATTGCACCTAAGGAAAATCTAGGAAGGCCTCGTGAAGGCAGTGGCATTTGTGCTGGGCTCTGGAAGGCCAGATGGCTATCAGAGGAGCAGACTCGGGCTGTGGGGGATGGGGCAAGTATGAATATAGGGAAAGGAAGAGATGGAACTGGTGTTTCAAAAAACGAGAGGCGTAATTTGAATTGTAATGTGTTATAGAGAGCAATTTGGTGGTGCCAGGTGTTAGAAAGTCTTAGGACCTGACCACGGTTCAGTAGGCAGTAGGGTACCATAGAAAGCCTTGGGGTTCCGTTGTTTTAGTCATGGCTGGTGTCTGTTGTGCAATCCAGTGATGAGGCTCAGCACAAGTGCTCACAGAAGCCTGGTAGTTTGTGTTCTGGGCTGTGGTCTTCCCGAGGCTCGTAAAGACTCCTCTGTCTGTGTTGTGTTTCCTTTGTGTTGTCAGCTCCCTTAAATTTGAGGACTCAACAGCCCCAGAACATAGGAGGGTGTGCATTCTAGTCTTGATAAGTTCCATGTGCCTCGTGTTTCTGAAACCATTTTCCATTGTGTGAAGTGTCATGAGAAATTACTGAGGGTGTGTAATGATGATTCTTCCTCATAAAGAATGCTTTGGAAAACATTTACTTTGAATTTGATCAGGTGTGGACAGTTAATAGTAGCAAGCATAGGAAACTCCTTTCCACCACAGTATTAACTATAAAGAGAAGGAACAGGCTGTAAGAATGTATTCATGCAAGGTAATAGCTCTTTTATAGAATGTGATAAGTTTATAAAGGTCAGGATAAATATGTATAAACCAGTATTTTAAAAATTGAGGCTAGGGGCCAGCCCGGTGGTGTAGTGGTTAAGTTCGTGCGCTCCACTTCGGCAACCTGGGGTTGGCCGGTTCGGATCCCAGGCACGGACCTACGCACTGCTTATCAAGCCATGCTGGGGCCACGTCCCACATACAGCAACTAGAAGGATGTGCAACTATGACATACAACTATCTACTGGGGCTTGGGGAGAAAAAAGGAGGAAGATTGGCAACAGATGTTAGCTCAGGGCCAATCTTCCTCGAAAAAAAAAAACACATAAAAACTCACTTGAAAAAAAAATTGAGGCTAAAAAAAAACTCAAAACAAAGGAAAGAGAAACGAAGCTTTACTGAAGGCTTACTGAGGGCAGCCCTTGCATTAAGTTTTTCCTGAGCAGCATCTCCTTTAATCCTGACAGTAGCCCTGAGCGGGAGCAGTTGATGTGATCCGCATTTTGAAGATGAGAAAACAGAGGCTTAGAGAGTTTGGTCAACCTGACCACTGTGATGGAACAGCTAACAAGTGGATGAGTGGGGTTTGAACCCAGGGCGGCCCCACTTCAGAGGCTGCTGCTCTCTAACCTCCCACATAAATGGGGACTCAGAGCTCATCGTGTCACTCAGATTTGTTAGCAAGACATATGAACCAAAAAGTAGTCCCAGGGCCTTTGAGTTATATGTGACACAAAAGGGGACATTTTAAATGTCGGACTGGTTTTGATAATACCTTGTCCCTTCCGGTTGTTGGTTGTGTGTACAGGAGCGCAGTGAAGCGTGTGCCATGGGTGTCCTTCAACTGTAGAGATGAGCTGCCACGCAGTCATCTGTGCTGCTGCCGCGTGTGCCGCTCAGTGGCCATTACTGCTTACATGGGACGTGCCAGAACTGTTGGGGTGGGTACATTCCCTTGCAGTCATTTCTGAAGGTTTTGAGTGCATTCAGCGACATGCTGTTCAGTAAGTTTACAACAATTTTCTTGATCTTTCTGTAAGATCTGCCTCATCATGTAATTTTAAGCTTTAAAATGCCGTTGTCTGTCTTTGACATACAGTTGTTTATTTTCAGTTTACTTGGTATTTCTTGTTTAGATTTCATCTACCTCAGAGGGCTTTTATATAGAATTAGCTCCTCTGACTCTTGACTTCTGAACGTTAATAGGAACAGTGGTGTTTGGTGCCATGCTGCTTGTTAACATGGTTCAAGTGGTAAGGCCTACAGTTTGTGGCCAACCTCCCATCAAAGTGCAGTTTTCGCTTTATACCTTCAGGGAAGCAAATGGGTTTTGACGGGAATATTGATGTGGTTCTCATGATGGTTTGAAGATAAATGGGTGAAAATGTTGCTTAAACCCCTTGATGTAAAATTAGTTCGTATAAAAATTCCTTTCTCAGTGCCTCGATGACACTGACACCATTATTAATACTTTCAGTATTCTAATGTCAGCAATCATTTGATATCAGTTTAATTAATTAAATCGTTAATGTTGGCTTTTTAGCACGATCATGTAAATATCCCAAAAGATTTCGTTGATTATTCTTCACCAAGTAGATTCATTTTAAAGTCAAGAAAATTGCATCACTTGTGTAGAGATTTTTCTTTAAATCATTATAACTTATTGATCTGACACTTACTTATAGATCTATTTTGATTTATTTTATTTCTTAATAGTATTTCAAAAGGCTTTTTGCAAATTTTGTTTGTCATTAGTGCCGTTGAGTCGACCTAACTCCTAGCGACCGTGTGTATAGCAGGGCAGAACCCTGTCCAGTCTTTTTGTGCCATCCTCTCACCTTCTGGCACTGTATCAGACAATGCTCTGCTGCTGTTCATAGGGTTTTACTGGCCAGTTTTTTCAAAAGTGGGTGGCCAGGTCCTTCTTCCTAGTCTGTCTTAGTCTGGAAGCTGCGCTGACACCTCTCCACCATGAGTGACCCTGCTCGCATTTGAAATCTCAGTGGCATAGCTTTCAGCATCATAGCAACATGCAGCCACCACAGTATGACAGCTGATAGATGGATGGTGTGGTTCCCTGACCAGGAAAGGAACTCAGGCTGCAGTGGTGAGAGCACCGAATCTTAGCCACTGGACCACCAAGCCTGGCTTTTTGCAAATTAGGCCTTTGAAAAATTAAGACAATCTCATTCTGATTCTAACAACACTGTTAAAAGTTTAACACAAATCTCAATTTTAATTTTCCTAGGAACAAGTTTTTAGAGTAGATATTTTCTTCATGTACGACCCATGTACCACAGATAATTGTTTGAATCAAATTTGTCATTTTTCTGGCATATTTTGAAACAATAATGCATAGGAATGTGTAAATGTTTCACTAGCTATAGAGGTGCAAATGCACTATATAAGAATCATTTGAAAACTTCTGATAGCATCTGTGTTTTCACAGTTACCAGTTCACACTGGTCTTCCTATTGCTGGGTCTGTGTTTATGCACGTTTCTATGCAGAGCCCATTCATGGGCTGTCTTTACTTTGCAGGCTTTATGTTTGTAGATGATCCATAGAAACACAAACAAGGAATTGTGGCAGCAGTATTTCATTCCTAAAGCTGAATGATGGCAGGCGTAATCACTGAGACTAACATCTGGAGTGGTTTATTAAAGGGAAACCTGCCAAGATTGTTAGCATATACCAAACAGCGTTATCCATATGTGCTGTTTGATCACTATTGAATGTTGGGGTGTGTTAGCATGAAAGGAAATGAATAAAACCCAGCAAAGGGTCACTATTAACACATTCTCTTCCCAGGGCTGATTTTAGTTTACCTTGATGAAGCAGTTTGCTAGAGATTTTCAAGATCGTGAACGTCACCCGTGTGGAGGGCTTCTGGATATACAGATACCTGGTTACTTGGTCATGCCAGAATTAAAGTGTACCCCTTCATTAAAGTCCTACTGAGTTCTTTTTTTTTAATGTTCTCCAAATCCTAGAAAGAATTAAAGACTATCATTAACAAATAAACAAGATTAACAGATACTGAGGGCTTACTCTGGGTTCAATCTTACTGAAAGCTTGGTACACACACTTGAGGGGTTTAATAGGGATCTTGTCCGGTAGAGTGATACAAGGGCCGACGGTGTGATGTCAAATTTCTTGGAGTAGTACTGAATTACTGTTCACTCTTGTCCTTAGTGGACAGCTCTGTAGTTGAATAGAGGGTATCAAGTCAGCAGGTTGGTCCTTATCAAACTATAAGAGGTTCAACTCTTATGAATACTGTGGTTCTAATAATTTTGCAATTCAGTTTATTTAAATAGTAATCTAGAGAGCTACCCCAACCTGGCATGGTAAGTGTTCTCATTAGGCACTAGTAGAGGGTATCATGCCTGTCTACATTCCGTACACGGGGATGGAGGGAGAAGACACAGATCTTCAAAAATCATATTCAAATAGTTTTTGATAGAATGGAGAAAAAAGTGGTCCCCAGAAAATGCTGCCAGTTCCTCCCCCGTGCCAGTCACTGCCAGATGCTGAAGACCGAAAAGTGAGTCAGACCATCACCATCCTTTGGTTCTGTTGCAATCAGGGTGACTGATTGTGTTAAAAATAATACCTGCAAATAGTTCCTGAGTTGTAAGCTGGAGGTATATGCAAGTACAGAGGGAACACCATGGAAGAGAGAAGTGGCTTAATGTGTTTGTTGGCCAAACTTAAGTTGTCTACCACAAAAACCTCATCACCTCCTCTTGAAACAACAGCAGCAAACTCCCTCCCAAACCCCACACGTGGTCTGTTGTTCCCTCACCCTGTGCGGATACTCCTTGCATGGGAAAAAAAGTCCCTCTTCCCACCTGAGTCCTGCTGCCACTCTCGCTTCCTCACTGTGTCTCTTCTCCAGCATCCCATGGCTGCACTTCAGGGCAGCCGCCTTCCTCCCTGGGCCTTTGAGGTCAGCTCTAACTGGTTTTTTGCTTCCAGTCTGTCTTAGCTTCAAGCCATCTCTCATATTGCTGTCACTCGTGTAGTGCACACATCCACCCTTACATACAGCCCAAGCTTCTGGGGAAGACCCCAGCGGCCTTCTGCCATTCCTCCCACCTTCCCACAGCAGGCCGCTGATGTTCACCCTTCTGTGACTCTCTCTCTGCCTTTCCTTCCACCTGGAGGGCTCTTGCCACTTTGTCTGCTGAATTCCTTGTTACCCTTCAAAAGGAAAGTCAGGGCTTCACATTGTAGCTTCTAGGGGATGGAACTTCCTCCTTCAGAGTCTAGTGCCTCTTCCATACCCCAGGGATGCGCACATCCCGTAGCATTTCACCTTTCTGTCCCCCGCGGTAGTCTGTGGGCTCCTCGAGGGTAGGGATTTTGTCTTCCTCAGCTGTGCGTTCCCAGGGCCCCACATGTTGTAGTGTTTTTAGAGTAAATGCATGATTGCTTCCTGGTAAGATGATTGCTGAGAAGACCCTGGGTAAGCAGTCATGGCAGCCCAGAAGCAATGCTACTACAAGCCTGGCATGCAGGAGGACTTAAGGAGGCTCACTCTTTGGTTGTGTATGGACATTTAGATCAATAGTTGTGGAATGTAGGAATGTGTCCAGAGAAACTAGAGCACTCAGTTGGACTGTGACTACCACTGAATTTTTGTTCTTGGACTAGGTTGGTGGAAGGGGATTTATTTGCATTTCTTGATTAATAGTGAATTTGAACATCATTTAAACTTTTATTGTTCATTGTATTCCTTCTTTTTAATGTCTTTTGCTCATTTTTCTGTGTGGCTGCTTTGATTTTAGTAACAGGAAAAGCATTAAGATTTCCTACAAAGGAACTACTTACTTGGTATATCTCTTGTAGCTACAAGTAGGTAGTTACATGGGATGACTGGAGTGGAATGTTCCCGGGATGGTTGAGAGTAAAACAGGGTTCTTTGAATTTTCTGAATGTCCTGCTTTGTTGTTGTTTAGAAGTCAACCAGAGAGCTTGAAGTAGAAGATATGTTCATACTCTGTCTTTCCTGCTTATACTGAATATCAATAGTGCCAGTCCATCTTACTCTTACATGGCCCTGGAGGTGAAGCTTCATATACTTGGTGGCTTTGTTGTTTTGTTTTCTTTTACTTTTTTCTGTAAGAGCTTTCCAAAAGAATAACTTCTGGATCAAATTCCTCATTATCCTAATCCCAGCATTTCCTTGTTTTACCTAGTTCAATGCAGTAAACATCTCATAATTTATATAATTATCTTATCTATCCAGCATCATGATAAGAGGAAGGATATCTAGCACACAAGTAAAATTTTCTTGGATGGGCCGGCTCCGTGGCTTAGCGGTTAAGTGCACGCGCTCTGATGCTGGCGGCCCGGGTTCGGATCCCGGGAGCGCCCCGAGGCACCACTTCTCCGTCCAACGTGAGGCCGAGTCCCACGTACAGCCACTAGAAGGATGTGAACCTATGACATACAACTATCTACTGGGGCTTTGGGGGGAAAAAACTGAATAAATAAAATCTTTAAAATTTTCTTGGATGATTGAAACTTAATAAGTACAAAATTTTGCATTTTAACCATTGTATGGGAAAGTTGCCTAAAATATATTACTTTGTATCAGACTTCTAAGATCTTAGTACTGTCATTATTTTCTGATGGGTGTATATCTAGGAGTGGAATTAATGGGTCTTAGGGTCTGCATATACTTCGCTTCAGTAGACACAATCAAACAGTTTTCCAGTGTGATTGTACCAGTTTACACTCCTTCAACAGTGTAAGAATGTTTAGGTTTTTCCACATGCTCACCAGCACTTGGTCTGTCATTTTTATTTCGATCATTCTGATGGCTGTGTGATATTTTCACATTGCAGTGCTGGTTTGCAAATCTCCAATGACTAAGGAAGTTCAGCACCTTTTCATGTGTTATTGGCCACTTCGATATCTTTGTGTGAATGGTCTTGAAGTCATTTACCCATATTTCCTTTGGATTTCCTATTTTTTTAAATATTCATTTGTGGTTATTTTTCTAAATCCTGTATTTTAGTTTTTGTCTGATATATTTATTGCAAATATATTTTCCACTTACTTGGTGGCATTCTTAGTCTCTTAATGCTGTATTTTGATAAACAGAAGTTCTTAATTTTAATAGGGTCTAATTTATAAGTTGTTCCTTTAATAGTTAACATTTTCTGTGGCCTGTTTAAGAATTTTTGCCTATTCCAACATTGCTAAGATATTCTCCTGTTTTTGTATAAACACTTAGTGTTTTTGCTTTCACATTTATATTTTCAGTTCTTCTGAAATTGATTTTTGTGAATTGTGTGAGATAAGGTCTAGCTACCTTTCTTCCCTATGGCTGTCCAATTGACCCAGCACCATTTATTGAAAAGAGCATCCTTTCCCCCATTGTACTGAAGTATCATTGTTGTAATAAGTCACTCTATTATGCTACTTTCATTGTAGGATACTATAATGAGGACTTACAGAATTTTGTACATGTCACAAGATTGTTTCTGAAAAATGTGTGGGTTGGAATATGCCATTAGAGGGGCCGGCCTGGTGGGGTAGTGCTTAAATTCATGTGCCCCTCTGCCTCAGCGGCCCGGGGTTCGCAGGTTCGGATCCTGGGTGTGGACCTGTGCACCACTCATCCAGCCACGCTGTGGCAGGTGTCCCAGATAAAGTAGAGGAAGATACGTATGGATGTTAGTGAAAAAGAGGAGGATTGGCAACAGATGTTAGTTCAGGACTAATCTTCCTCACACACAAAAAAGAATATGCCATTACAGTGAGTTGATGTGGAAGGTCCCTTATATTTCAATTCTAACATGAAAATAATAGTTAAAAATATTTTATAAAGAAAAATATGTAGGGCCAGCCCCATGGCTTAGCGGGTAAGTGAGCGCGCTCCGCTGCTGGCGACCCGGGTTCGGATCCCGGGTGCGCACCGACGCACCGCTTCTCTGGCCATGCTGGGGCCGCATCCCACATGCAGCGGCTACAGGGATGTGCAGCTATGGCATACAACTATCTACTGGGGCTTTGGGGGGAGAAATAAATAAATAAATAAATAAAATCTTTAAAAAAAAAAATATGTAGCTGATATTGAAAATAAGGAAATAAAATCTGTAGGTGCCAAAAGTGAAGTGAGAACTCTCAGTGGTGAGAGGAAGTGAATCCACATGGCTAGTAAGGGTAACTGGACCAGATAATCCCTTTATATGCTGGGGGTTTAATGCCTTACAGAACCACGTGAGTATGAACAGGAATTAGGCTCCCAGCATAAATCCAGTAGCCAGGAAAGAGTGGTTTAGTTGGAAAAAATTCTGCCTGCTGGCTAAAGGATGAGACATAGAAGCTGGAGTCTAGGCAGCTGATGTAAACAAGATAAATTATGAGGCACTGGATCTCCTAGACTCTGCAGTGCATGCATTTGGAACTGCATGCTTCCTCTGGGGAAGCCCTGGACTAAGAAACCAACATAACATCTGACCAAGTACTTCATAATCACATTGGGCTTAGGTTGAGGCAGCCATAAAATCCTTTCAGAGGAATGCTTCTCAGGACCCCAGAAGAAGATAATTTGTAGTAAAGATGAGCTCATGGTGAAAATTTACAAAGCACATCAAGGAGAGAGAGAAAATATTAAGAGCTTTCAAAGAGAGTAGGCAGATTATTTACCAAAAAAAAAAAAAAAGATAAACTGACTGGAGATCTTTCATCAGTAATAACAGGTGACAGAAGTCATTGGAATTTAAAGTGCTAAGAGAAAATAAGTGTTATCCTAGAATTTTATACCTAGCTAAATTATCACTTGGGATTAGGGATGAAATTAATAAATTTTTGACATGAACAAAAATACATGATAATTTTCAAAAGAAAAATACAAATAGGCAATACACACAGATAATCAACCCTACTAATACTTGCAGAGATAAAAATTAAAATAACAGTCATTTGTTTACTTATTTCAATCCACAAAACTGAGATAATAGACAATCATGTTGACAAGGATCTTGGGACATATAACAGTCTCCACTTAGCTGATAAGTTTACATTGCTACATTTCAGGGAACAAAGTAACAAAGCCTTAAAATTGTGCAAGGTGTTTGAACCTGCAATTTCACCTAAGGAATGTATCCTAAGGAAGTAATTGAAATTATATGTGAGGATTTAGTTACCAAGTTGTTCACCCCAGTGTTTTTAAGAGTTCAAAGTTGAAAATAAGTAAATGTTCAACAAGTAAATGTCCAACATGGAATGTCCAATATGAAATAAATCATTAAATCTGTATAATAGAATACTATATTGTCACTAGAAACAACATTTCAGTAATGTCAGTTGAAAAGAACAAATAGGTTAAATGAAATAAATATATTAAATGAAAAAATATTATAAAATGTGAATATCATGATCTATTATAAAGGCAAATAATCATTTCTACCTAAAAATTTTTGCAAAATATATCAATATCTACATCTATGTTTATTTCTATATACAGCTCAAAGTTTTAACAGTGGTTGTATTTGAGTTGTTAGTATTATCCGGTTTTAAAATATTCTTCTTTATTGTCTCTATTTTATTTTTTCCCAAAGTTAGATCATAATTTTTTAGAACGGAAAGAAAAAAGGAAATCTCATGTTGGAGAAGACACAAAAAAACCATTGTAAGCATTGTAGTGTGGTATTTAACATATGCACTGCTTCACGGTCCAGAGTCTAATCAGCTGTGTCTGGTTTGTAGTTTTTCATTGATTATAAGATTTAAGATGAAGTTATTTCTGCATATTAAATTCCAGTAAACAATTTTCACTTTTTTAATTGAAGTTTCCTTAGAAACTCAAAGGATAAAGGGAGCACTATATTGATTATTCAATACATAGAATGTATGAATCTTATTTATTAATTATCTTATGTAATAGTTCTCTTTTTGGTTCTCTACTCCTGTAATCTTTTTCATATGTTTTTCTTTCTAGACAACCAAGGGACATTGCTTGGGTCCAGATCCTCTGAGAATGACATAATAGTGATCATCTGTTATAGGCACGAAGGTGCGAGACATCAAGACAGAGGCAATAACTAGGGTTTTTTTGTGGGGGCCAGTTTTTTTCTCATTGAGATTTTACAATAGCTCAAGAGAGGTGCTTCTTTAAAATAGAAGACAACATAAAAAGGATAGGAAGCCAAGATTCTGATATGGAGGAACAGACTGTCCCAGTGGAACACAACACAAACTACACCTTTGTTCTTGTTAACACAAAAGGACAGTTGCGGGGCCGGCCCAGTGGCCTAGTGGTTAGGTTCGCACGTTCTGCTTCGGCGACCCAGGGTTCACCGGTTCGGATCCTGGGCACGGACCTATTCACTGCTCATCAAGCCATGCTGAGGTGGCCTCCCACATAGAAAAACTAGAAGGACCTGCAACTATGATATACAACTATGTACTGGGGCTTTGGGGAGAAAAAAGAACAAAAAAAAAAAAGAGGAAGATTGGCAACAAATGTTAACTAAGGGCCAATCTTCCTCAAAAAAAAAAAAAAGTGAAACTAATAATAGGAGTAGTTGGAAAAAGAAAAAAAGGACAGTTGCTTCTACCTTTGTAAAAGAGGTTATCCTGAAAATAGATACTGCACATATTGAAAATGTTGAGAGTATTAGGGATGAGTTATGATTTAAAACAGAAAAAAGTTATGGAAAGAAACTATAAATTATTATCCATCCTGCCTTTAAACTTTCCTGGGAAATAATTTTTTGAGGCTAGTCATGTAAAAACGCTTCAGGATTTGGGGGTGGGGGATGAAGGCAGTGGGAGTGGAACAAATACAAAAAGTGACTTTTAAGGCAGGAATTTTTAGATCATTGATGTTTGGTGGCTCTTGATGCCTGAATTCCTGTTGGAGATCGTTGTGGAATCAGTTTTAAAAACCTACCTCATGTCTGAGAGAGCATTTTTAAATCTCTATATAGGCAAATATAAGCATTATTAATTACTTGAGGCCCTACCGTTTAACTTTGTATTTTACTATTTAAAATAATGAAGGAGAGAAAAATATTTTATTAATCACCTGCAGGCTCTTTTTAAATGTCTTCAGGGAACTTTACCTCTAGGTCTTTAAGCAAAATATAAATTGACATCCGGTGCCAGTTGCCTAAAAATGTATTGTGTAATTCTTTACAAGCTGTGTCCCATATTCTCTGTGTTAACTGTGGTTTAGAGACAGAAACAGAAGAAGTGGAGTTCATACTTGATTGGGAAACACAAAAATAGTTCTGGCTCTATCAATAACTGGATGTGTGGCTTGGAAAATCACTTAACCTCCTGGACTTCAAGTTTTTTCTCTATTCTGTGAGAGGATTGAATTTATTAGTAGGTGATCCTCAAAGTCCTTGCTACTACAGTATTCTATTTGTGTGTTCAGACAAAATGATCCCAAAAGTTGATTCCCTGTCTGTTGACTTTTCCCAGTATTCTATCAGGAGTTTAGCAGTAGAATATTGCAGAATATGCTGTTTAAAAGTGTTTTTGATTATTTATGCACAATTGCTTTATTCAGCTCTTGAGCTGGCTTTCAGTAAACATAAGGTTTTTAAATAAAGTGAATATCTGGACTATAGAAATAGAAATTAAACAGGAGATCAAGTATATATATTTTTGGTAGTATTTCCGACTTTTACAGTATCGTATTGAGAGCCTTAATTGTAACCAAATAATGTTTCCCAGTCTGTGTTTAACTCTACATCAACTCAGTGGACAATTCATGAAGAGTATAATTGACAGCTAGTAAAACTCTTGCAAAAATGAATCAGCTTTTAACTTCATATGAAATTATCCTTTTCTAAAAGACTGAAAACTATAATCAAGTTGTTCTGTGTAATTTGCTATAGATTACTACTTTAAGAGAATAACATCCTTTGTTAAAAAGGCTTTTCTATTATTGGCTTATGGTGTCCCCTCCTCCCACTGAATTAAGGCTTTCAACTTGCTGTTAGATGCCCTGAGCTTTTCACCTGAACGTTTTTACAATGAGAGCATAATGAATGTTGATGCTGGTATAGATTGTTTAAAATAGGCTTAGATTAGCTTTCTGTTGCTGCTCTTGACTTCCAGAGAGAGCAAAGAAACAAGTTCCTTAGTATAGAGATGGGATTTTTATCAAATGCTTTAAAGCTTAGATTGTACAGGTGAAGTCTGTAGCCTCCCACTGCTAGTTTTTCTTTATTTCTCGAGTCCACTTATTACATGAGCAAGTGTGAACACTCTGACAGTTATAATGTGCTCATGGTGTATTATAAACACTAGAAAACAATATAACAATCAATGTGTTATATGGAAGACTTAGGAACTTAAAATTGCTCATTCATGCATTTATCAAAAATAATGCTCAGCTTTATGTGTTAACATTCTGTATATACAGTGTTAAAAAAGGCAGCCAAGGTCTCTGCCTTCATGGAGTTTATGGGATTATGGTCAAGGCCTTTAATATGATTCTCTTTATAGATGCTGAGAGGGCCTTTAACAACATTCAGCATCCATTGATGACTTAACAAAAAGTAAAACATTCAATAAAATAGGAATTGGGGAACAATTCTTTAACGTTAGCTGAAATATTTAGACCGCAAAGATAAGGTCAATATCTTAGTTGAAATATGAGAAACATCCCTACTCGCCCCCAAACAAAGCAAGGATGACACCATCTTCACTTGCGTTTAACTTTATGTTGGAGGTATTAGCCACAGAAATCAGACAAGGAAAGATAATTAGAAGAATAAAAATTGTACAAGAGGAGGTGACAGTATCTCTTTGAAGGTGATACTTGGAAAATCCAAAAGAATCAATGAGAAAACTAACACAAACAATAAAAGGACTCAGAAGGTACCAGTATATAAAATTAACATACAAAAATCAAACATTAACTGATCAAAAGATAAAATGGAAAGGAAAATCCTGTTTTGTAGCAACAACAACAACAAGAAAATAAAATACTTGGGAGTAAAATTAAGTGTATATGTACAGAATCTTTATAAAGAAAACTCAAAACCTTTCCTGGAAGATTCAGAAGTAGACGGAAACAAATGGATGGTCATAACCTGTTCTTGGATAGGAGGACTCAACATCATAAAGATGTCATTTCTCATCAAGTTAAAAAATTTAATGCAACTAGTAAAAGTGATGTTTTACTTTGAGCTTGATAATTTGATTCTTATGTTCATTTAGAAAATAAATATACACGAATATCTAGGAAAACCTGAAAGGAGAAGAGTCATGAGGGATTTGCTTTATCCAGTAGTCACACTCTCGAGCCTCAGTAGTGAAGTAGTGTGGTGCTTACACGCCAGTTGGCCACTGGAGAAAAAAGTCCAGAAATAGACCCAAGAACACATGGAAATAGTATAATGAAAGCAGATTCTCAAATCAGTGGGAAAAGATAGACTTTTTAAAAAATTAGTAGACTTTGTTTATTTTCTTTTATTTTGAATAGTGATAAAACATAAGATTTACCATCTTAACCATTTTTTAGGTATATAGCAGTGATAAGTATATTCACATTATTATGCAACCATCACTACCATCCATTCCCATAACTCTTTTTATCTTGTAAAACTGAAAATCTATACCCATTAAAAAGAAACTCCCCGTTTCCCCTCTCCCCTGGCAACCACCATTCTACTTTCTGTCTCTATGGATTTGACTACTCTAGGGACCTCATATAGACAGAATTATACAGTGTCTTTTTGTGACTGACATATTCACTTAGCATAATGTCTTCAGGGTTCATCCATGTTATAGCATGTATCAGAATTTTCATCCTTTTTGAGCCTAAATAATGTTCTATTGTATATATATACACCACATTTTGTTTATCTGTTTATCCATTTATGCACACTTGGGTTGCTTCCACCCTTTGGCTATTGTGAATAATGCTACAATGAACGTACATGAAAAAATATCTCTGAGACCTTGATTTTAATTTTTTGAGAGGGTATATACCTAGAAGCAGAATTGCTGGATCATATGGTAATTTTTATTGTTTTGAGGACCCGCTATACTGTTTTCCGCATTTTATATTCCCACCAACAGTAGATAAATGTTCCGATTTCTCTATCTTGTTGCGATTACTCGTTACTTTCTGGGTTTTTTTTTTTTTTTATACTGGCCATCCTAATGGGCATGAGATGGTATCTCATTGTGGATTTGATTTGCATTTCCCTAATGATGAAAGATGTTGAGCATCTTTTCCTGTGCTTACTGGCCATTTGTATATTTTCTTTGGAGAAATGTCTATTCAAGTCATTTAATCAGGTTGTTTGTTTTTTTGTTGTTGAATTACAGATGTTCTTCATATATTCTCTATATTACACTTAATGGATCTATCATTTGCAAATATTTTCTCCCATTCTGTGGGTTGCCTTTTCATTCTCTTGATTGTGACTTGATGCACAGAAGTTTTAAATTTTGAAGTAGTCCAGTTTATATTTTCTTTTGTTGCCTGTGCTTTTAGTGTCATATCTGAGAAATCATTGCCAAATCCAGGACCATGAAACTTTTCCCCTATATTTTCTTTTAGGAGTTTTATAGTTTAGCTCTTATGTTTAGGTCTTTGATCCATTTCGTGTTAATTTTTGTACAGGCATACCTTGGAGATAGATATTGCAAGTTTGTTTCCAGACCACTGCAATAAAACAAATGTCAGAATAAAGTGGGTCACATAAATTCTTTGGTTTCCCGGTGCGTATAAAAGTTATGTTTAGACTATACTGTAGTCTATTAAGTGTGCAATAGCATTATGTCTAAAAACACAATGTGCATACCTTTATTAAAAATACTTATTGCTAAAAAATGCGAACTATCATCTCTGCCTTCAGCGAGTTGTAATCTTTTCGCTGGTGGAGAGTCTTGCCTCGATGTTGATGGCTGCTGACACATCAGGGTGGTGGTTGCTGAAGGTTGTGGTGGCTGTGGCATTTCCTTAAAATAAGACAACAATGAAGTTTGCCACATTGATTCTTTCTTTCAAAAACAATTTCTCTGTAGCATGCAATGCTGTTTGATAGAATTTTACTCACAGTAGAACTTCTTTCAAAACTAGAGTCAATCCTCTCAAACCCTGCTACTGCTTTATCAACTAAGTTTATGCAATATTCTAAATCCTTTGTTGTCGTTTCAATAGTCTTCACAGCATCTTCACCAGGAGCAGATTCCATCTCAAGAAATCACTTTCTTTGCTCATCCAGGAGAAGCAACTCCTCATCCATTCAAGTTTGATCATGAGATTGCAGCAATTCAGTCACATCTTTAGGCTCCACTTTTAATTCCAGTTCTCTTGCTGTTTCCACCACATCTGCAGTTACTTCCTCCACTGATGTCTTGAACTCCTCAAAGTCAACCATGAGAGTTGGAATCAACTTCTTGCAAACTCCTGTTAATGTTGATATTTTGATCTCTTCCCATGAATCACGAATGTTCTTAATGGCATCTAGAATGGTGAATCCTTTACAGAAGGTTTTCTGTTTACTTTGTTCATATCCATCAGAGGAATCACTATCTGTGGTAATTGTAGTCTTGCAAAATGTATTGCTTAAATAATAAGACTTGAGGGGCCGGCCCCGTGGCTTAGCGGTTAAGTGCGTGCTCTCCGCTGCCGGCGGCCCGGGTTCGGATCCCGGGTGCGC